GCAGTGTATCCAATGTGAGTATTCAAGTTTTACCCTACCACAAATAGCTCTTTGCCTGTAGATCAGCAGAGGTCATTCTAGTGCCAAAACCAGGTATGCTTCTATTGACCGATTCATTGAGGATTCTGACCACCTCTAGCTCAAACACCTTTTCCTTGTTGCCAGCCAACCCCCAGATATTTCATGGCTGTGAATCTGAGGTTTCAGCCATCATCTAGCAAGGAGGTTCCTAGGATCACGATTTTGGTAGCAGGGGGGATAGGGAAGAAAAACCTAACAAGAGCTATTCTTTATCGCCCAGGGTCCCAGACATTGCTGTAAGATTTGATCACTACAGGGTCTATGTTGCTTGTGACATTGCATCAAGTAGTGTTCATCTTGCTGTCCTTCTTGCTGCCCATATAGGACTCAAACCAGCTCAAGACCTCACTTGACCTGTCATCCATCATTTTGCTAACAGTCCACCATCCTTGTTGATTTTGGATAACCTGGAGACAATCTCGGAGCCACGAGGGATGTGTGATGGAGTTGAAAAGCTCTTATCCTTGCTTGTAGATGTCGGTCACCTGGCTTTGATTGTAAGCACAAAACAGATATCCATCCCTTACATACATTGACCAAGTGCATGCATTTAGATCACGATGTGTGGTGCTGAATGGCCTGCCAATGTCCATTGGACACATCCATTTGTAGAACCATTGAAGCCCTTAAGCCATGATGCTGCCCATAAAACATTCATTGACAGGGGAGAGGGGGAGGCGGGGAGGATTGTGCACGCGCACTAGGATGCAAGAAGTGATCTTGGTTATGGGAAGCTCACACTGCATGATGACGAAAACTTGCTAGGGCCAATGATGCTGAACACCAGGGAAAGAGCCCGGAACAAGAGTATTGTGTCTTGAATCTTGATCCTTGCAGCGGCATCATACTTTCCAGTGCTGAGGTTTGAGGAGCAGCAGAAGCTTCAGAAGTCTTAAAGGTGGGTTTGAGACAAATCTATTCCAGCGCTGCTTGGATGGCTGCCGAGCCTTGAGGAGAACTTGAGGCAATGAGGAACTTGGCACAAGCACTGGCAATTGCACTAAGCTATCAACGACATGAAGAGGATCTTGATGCACTTGCAGAAGGTCCGTTATTGAAGGAGTGGGTGCGGGGTCTTTGCCTTACGAGAGGATGGGAGATGGAGGGGGGAGATGATGGGAGGAAGCAAAGAACGAGCAACCACGGTGTTGTTTGGCCCACAACAATCACGCTATCGCAGTGCCACCTACATCATCACATGCGAACAAAGGCACGCAAAACAGCGAAAATACAAAGGAGAGGCAACAGATTTTGAGCGGAGGTTGAAAGTCTTATGCAAATGTGTCTGGGTGAACTTATTTTTTGTGCTACATGCATTACTGATGCTTTGCATCCAGGTCAAAATAATTTGCACTTGGCGCATATTCAGGATCAAACCCTGTTTGTTCATTTCCGGTGCAACTCGCTGTGATGCGGACTGCGGTGCTTTAAACTGCCAGATGGTGGGGAGATCCGGGCTATGTTTAAATGCTCGTCCTCTAGGGGGAATTTGTTCTGTCGCGGTAGACAAGTACGTAGGGAGGTTTAAATATTATTGGTGGGGATATCCGTACAAGGATTCGAACAGTTAGTTCAAAATCCTACTAGCTAGGGTGGTCCGAGCGAACTCCGATGCCTAGTTAGCCTTCTCGGGTTAACGGAGGTTGAATCTGTTCCACACTTCCTTGGGGAGGAGTTTCGGAAGGCGATGCGGGGTCCAATTCGTCAAGTCCGAGGTGAAATATGGATTTGGGGGCTTCCTGGACCACGAACCACAGTCGTCCGAAGTATCTTTGAGTCGTAGATCGTAAGACCGGGGGATTTATGTGTTCGCGATAACGTTCCGGCAATTCCTCCTCCCTTTACCCCTCTTTGTGCCTCTACGGAGTTTCCTCTCTCTACTTCTCACCCGTCCGCTTGCTGAAGGCGACTTCCTGCGGGCTCTGCACCGCCAACTTCCTTAGCTAGTAGCTACACACGAACTCCGAAGACCTCGTTGTGCTGTTTGAGAGATTTCACTGCCCTACTTGCGTAGGGGAGGAATAAACGGTTCGATTTTCTCCGGCGCTGAACTTTTTATGCCGAAATATAAACTCCGTTCGCTGTCTGACGGCGGCGGGGGAGTACCGGGGTCGCTTTACTGTGTAATTCGACTCCGGGTGACCTCTAGGTGATGTTCGGGGTGGATATTTAGCTACTCCTAAGCTGGCTAAGGCTTAGAAGGTGAGGATGTGGGCCGAAACTGAGATGATATTTTGGTAGGCTAGCTGCAGTATTTATACCCCAGCCCAAGGCTGTGCCGGAGTTGTTCCTTTGTGTCCCATACCTGTTCGCTCGCACGCTCCTCCGCCCCGGAGTTCGCTTATGACTCATTCTAGAACTCCATGAACCCTTACCCGCACCATCTTTGGTCAGGCACCGATTCCGCAACCCGGACTTGTTGGCCTAGTCTCGGACACTCCATGTCCGGTCCTAACTCGCCTCCTATCCGGCTTCCGCCTGCGACGGCTCGATAGTGTAGTGGAAATGCACTCCGTATCCTTTCACCCCAGTGTTTGACTTACGGAGAGTCCGGAGTTCGATCCTCCGTCGAGCCCTTTTCCCGTGTTACCCACCTTTTTGATTACCCGGAGTCCTCGTTCCATCCTTTCGGGCCGTTTGGTATTCGCGACTCGATGGCGTACAGTCAACTCCCTCCTAACCCATATCCCTTATAACCCATAAACCTCTCTAACCCATACTTTTTCGAATCCACCATGTCTGTTCTCAATTAAAACCACTTAAAACCCATAACATTCCACTACCCCATAACCCATATGATTTTTGGGATTCATAACCCATATGTTACCCAAAATTCTTGAGGAGACAGTCCGGCATCTGTTCGGCCATCGTTATTTGGTCGAATTATGGCTGATGCGCCCAAGCTGCACCACACCTATGTTCCATGACTCTTGAAGTCCTCCACAAAGGTCGTGCTTCACTCAAAGAAAACTTCAAAAAGCGAAGGGATGAGCTTGCACAACGTCTAAAGAAAGAAGAAAAAATCTCGGAGGCGGATGAGGCTTGGCTCGACAATGATGCCAATCATGTCAATGAAGATGTGCTGATTGACACCCTTAAAAATGCATCTGATTATGAGTGCGGCCTCTCCCACCTTGATTTGAAGCAGAAGGGATTGGTTCAGAAGCTTCAGGAGCTGCAGGAGGCATGGCTGATGACTCAAGGAAGCGAAAAAGTGTGTGTTCTTTGTTTCTTCTGCCGTTCTTTGAGAGTGATGGTGGACACACCTATTACCGACTATTTCGTTTGTACATAGCTTTACATCCCTATCTAATTTTTTTTCAGCATTTTTTTCTTGACCTCCCTTAGAACCCATAAGCTCTAATAACCCATACCCTGAGGTGTCCACCGAGGGGTATGGGTTAAGAGGGAGTTGACTGTACATAGGAATGCGGAGTGCGTTACCATTACGCCATCAAGCCGTAGGAGTCGAACGACCAGTCAAGATCATCACCGTAAAAAAGAATGGTTTCCGTCGGAATGGCTCAGCGGAGAATCGAACTCCGAACTCTCTGTAAAGCATACTGCGAACTTCATAGGAATGCGGAGTGCGATACCATTACGCCACTGAACCGTTCAAGACTAAGCCCTATCTTTTACTCGAGGGACAAAAAGAAAGTAAAGGCCCGTCGGAGATTCGAACTCCGGTCCCTCTATTATTTCAGTTTCCCGCCAGCTACGCGAACGGAGTGCGTTACCACTACGCCACCGGACCATGTGTGCAAGCAATACGAAGGTCCGGCAAGAGGCACACGAAAAAAGGAATGGAAAAGAGGGATGGCTCGACGGAGGATTGAACTCCAGACTTCCTGCAAAAGAGGTGCTTGTGCAAGAACCATGGCAGGATGCGTTACAGTTACAGTCAACTCCCTCTTAACCCATACCCCTCGGTGGACACCTCAGGGTATGGGTTATTAGAGCTTATGGGTTCTAAGGGAGGTCAAGAAAAAAATGCTGAAAAAAAATTAGATAGGGATGTAAAGCTATGTACAAACGAAATAGTCGGTAATAGGTGTGTCCACCATCACTCTCAAAGAACGGCAGAAGAAACAAAGAACACACACTTTTTCGCTTCCTTGAGTCATCAGCCATGCCTCCTGCAGCTCCTGAAGCTTCTGAACCAATCCCTTCTGCTTCAAATCAAGGTGGGAGAGGCCGCACTCATAATCAGATGCATTTTTAAGGGTGTCAATCAGCACATCTTCATTGACATGATTGGCATCATTGTCGAGCCAAGCCTCATCCGCCTCCGAGATTTTTTCTTCTTTCTTTAGACGTTGTGCAAGCTCATCCCTTCGCTTTTTGAAGTTTTCTTTGAGTGAAGCACGACCTTTGTGGAGGACTTCAAGAGTCATGGAACATAGGTGTGGTGCAGCTTGGGCGCATCAGCCATAATTCGACCAAATAACGATGGCCGAACAGATGCCGGACTGTCTCCTCAAGAATTTTGGGTAACATATGGGTTATGAATCCCAAAAATCATATGGGTTATGGGGTAGTGGAATGTTATGGGTTTTAAGTGGTTTTAATTGAGAACAGACATGGTGGATTCGAAAAAGTATGGGTTAGAGAGGTTTATGGGTTATAAGGGATATGGGTTAGGAGGGAGTTGACTGTAGTTCACAGTATGCTTTACAGAGAGTTCGGAGTTCGATTCTCTGCTGAGCCATTATGAAGAAAACCCTTCTTTTTCATGGCGATAGTTTGGCTGGTCGTTCGATTCCTATGGCTCAGTGGCGCAATGGTAACACACTCCACGATGATCTAATGGGTTTTCATATCGATTGACGGAAAGTCCGGAGTTCGATTCTCTGTCGAGCCCTTCCGACGGAAACCATTCTTTTTACGGTGATGATCTTGACTGGTTGTTCGACTCCTACGGCTTGATGGTGTAATGGTAACGTGCTCCGTGTACCTAACGTTCTCATATCGGCTGATGGAAGGTTCGGAGTTCGATTCTCCGTCAAGCCATGACTTTTTACTCCGGTCTGTGGTCACGTCGGAGCCATCATGGCTTGGTAGCGTAATGGTAACACGCTCCGTGTACCTAACCTTCTCATATCGGCTGACGGAGGGTTTGGAGTTCGATTCTCCATCAAGCCATAAATTTTTACTCGGAGTCGGTCCTTTGTAGTCTTGAGTTCGATCCTCGAATGGCCTGTTGGCGTAATGGTAACGCATTCCGTGCACCTTAGCATTCGTATATCGGTTAACGGAAGGTTCGGAGTTTGATTCTCCGTCAAGCCACTAGTTGGGTCCGGATATCATTTTTAGTCGAAGGCTTAAGGCGTTGTTCTCGGAGTTCGGTGTTTTGAGGTCACATCGGGAGCTATCACAATGTGATGGCTCACATCGCGCTCATCTGAGCGTCTGGCTGTGTAATGAAGATGTTGATAAACTTCTCTCTCTGGCTGATAATATGCCACTTGCAATTGATCTCATGGCCCATTTGGTGGACTGTGAAGGCTTTTCAAGTTTGTTCCACTGCTGGGAGACAGAGAAAACTTCTCTTCTTTCGGAAGGCCATGACAAATTTGGATTTGTCCATTTCACTATCTCTCCAAAGTCCTTGCCTGGCATCCCTGCCCCATTCACATGATCGGTTAAGCCTGCTCTCAATTCTGCCTGATGGGATTTCAGACACAGAACTCTTGCAAAGCAAAGTCCCAATTGAAAATATCCTTTCTTGCAAAGCAGCTCTGCTTTCCACCTCTCTGGCCTATACAGTGCCTTAAAATATTGGTTCCAATCCAGGAATATATGCAGAAAATGCATCCTCCAATGACAGTTCTGGTCCTGCCTCTTCTCAAACATTTTCAAGAACTTCTATCAAACTTTTCAAACATCCAGGGCCTCCAGGCAAAGGGTTTACATCCAGATAATCCTGATCTAGCAAATATGATCTATGGCACCTGTCCTTTTGATACATTTAGCAACCAGATTGGGCATGGACATAAGTAATTGATATACCACATTCCCCATGTTCTGCCTCAACCCAGGGACTATCAACTGCCCCAACGAGTGCATCAAGCTTTAGAATATTTGCCATATGTCAAAAATTCAGACCTTACAGCTAGTTGCGGAACTTAGGGCGCGGCCCAATTTTTTTTTTTTTTTGATGTTTCGGATATTTCAGCTCTACTGAGCTCAGTTCTTCACTGATTCCCTTGAAACTATGATCAATAGATTTGCCTTGCGATTCCGGAGGGAGTGACGTTCGAAAGTATGTTAGAAGCGTGGGAATTGCCTTTTTCAGCAAAATTTGAGGCATCTTCTCCTATCAGCTCTAGCATTAAATATACTGATCTGATTGACTTAATTTTTGGATATATCATACTTACATGCATTATCTAGGATGTGTCATGCCCAGATCGTCAAAATACCTCATTATTCAAAAGCCTTACAGTATTCAATTTCAATCAGTTTTAAGTTTCATGCCAGATGTGAACAAAACATTTTAATCCTTATATGGGCATGACACATCCTAGGTAATACATGTAAGTATGATATATCCAAAAACTAAGTCAATCGGATCTGTATATTTAATGCTAGAGCTGATAGGAGAAGATGCCTCAAATTTTGCCGAAAAAGGCAATTCCCATGCTTCTAACATATTTTCGAACGTCAATCCCTCCAGAATCACAAGGCAAATCCATTGATCATATTTTCAAGGGAATCGGTGAAGAACTGAGCTCAGTAGAGCTGAAATATCCGAAACATCTATAAAATAAAATGAGCCGCACCCTAAGTTCCGCAACTGGCTGTAAATGTGGGCAATGTGTTGATTTTCCTTCAAAACATGCTATAAGTCACTAGGCAGAATCTATCGTGTCATATAGGATATCAGAATACTTTCAGGCTGTCAGTGATATTCCTAGGCCCATGAACTTCCTTCAGGTAGGAATAGCATTGTCAATTTCAACTGGAAACACCAACAGACAGACTGGTTCCCACTATCTTCAGTAGTGGGTTTTTGTGGTGGTTCTGAATGTCATTTTCCCAAAATTTTTGGCACAGTTTCAGTCACTTGTTGTGGCAGTCAAAATATTTGCATCTCTTTGTCTTTCTTTCCTTTACTGGTGCACCATCACTGATGCCTTCCTCTTTTAGGCTTCATTACCACGCTCCTTAATGTCGCATCATCCCTTGATCTGCTCTCTTCCCTACTTGTGATCGCTCCCGGTTGATACACATGCACTGACCTCCTCATGGTCTCATCATCAATGGCATTGCTATTTGATTGGTATCCAGTCCTTCACCTTCACCAACATCCCTCGCACACTCATTTTTTGTATACTTTTCCTGGTCTCACTTCCCATCTACTTGCATCTCGGAATTGTGCCCATCTATTCACAGTGTCCCCTGGAACATATGGACCCTTTTTGTGCTCTATCTTGTGCTCTATTTCTATGCCATCCCCTTACATTGTAACACCTGGACTCAACTGGGCTGCATATTTCCATGAGTCCCTCTTGAATTCTAATTTCTGGCTATTGGCATGGGGATACATTTGATGTCTGGGCCTTCCTCTCCATGCGTTGTGAGCCTGTTAAATCCCAAAGTCGAGAGTCGAAGGAATGATCCGATGACGGAAGGTTCCGGTGCCGGAGTATGGGCGGAGCGGAAGTTCGGATCAATCGCAAACACCACAGGAAGGTAAGGGTGTGCGTACTACCTAGACCGGCGAGAGTAGAAGTCGTTCCGGTGAAAGCCAGAACTTCAGAGGATGGAAGATAAGGCAGGGTTCAGGACAAGACGAATAGTCAAGAACGTTAATAATCAAACTGAAGTTACATGCAAGCATACGGAGTATTTATACTAAGTCATAATTATGTACGGCCGTAAAATCCATTTCCTACTTAAGTAATCATAAACGGTCGAAGCCGCAAGTCAAGGTTGCAGAGCGGTGAAGTCCACTCGAGAAGTAAGTAAAATTAGAACAAGAGAAAAACGGGAAACGCTCAGTAATCCTTCATTGCGTAAAAACCCGGTTTTCGACGGCCTCCGGAAATCCGGAGGCCGGAACTTTCCGTTTTGATCGGAAAATCTCGGAAGCATCGGAGGACGCCTGATGAGCGAGACGTACGGATATAACAGAGCCATCACATTGTGATAGCTCCCAATGTGACCTCAAAACACCGAAACTCCGAGAACCGACGTAGCTGGCAAACTTACAGCTTGGCATCCAACAATAAGATTAAAAAGCCATCATATCCAGACCATGGCTTGACAGAGAATTGAACTCCGAACTTTCCATCAAACGAAACACATATATAGGAATTCGGAATGTGTTACCACTACGCCACTGAGCTGTGCCTTGAGGACAACAAAAGAAATATTTTAGACGCAATGGCTTGACGGAGAATCAAACTCCAAACTTTCCGTTGAATGATATACAAATGCTGTATAAGGACACAGAGCACATTATAATTATGCCACCGAGCCATTCAAGAGTTGAACTCCGAAAATGACCACCAAGCAGCAACACTGAGTTTAAAATTATTACCCAGACCTGAACTGGCTCGACAGAGAATCGAACTCCGAACCTCCCATAAGCAATACCGTGAACTACATAGGGATATGGAGTGCATTACCATTACGCCACCAAGCCATTCAACATGTTGCTTCTTTTATCTCATCACCGATTTGGCAGATAAAACGCAAGGCCTGGCGGAGATTTGAACTCTGGACCCTCCATTATTCAGTTTCCCACCAGCTACGCGAGCGGAATGTGTTACTGCTATGCCACCGGACCATGGATATTCCCACTTCAAGCTGTTCAAGGATCGGCACAAAAAGGAGGGGAATGGCTCAACGAAGGATCGAACTCCGGACTTCCTGCAAGAAGCGCTTGTGCAAGAACCAAGACAGGATGCATTACAATTACATCATCAAGTCGTGAATGCATACAGCCTGGAAGGATGGAACAGGAACTCCGGGTAATCAAAAAGTGGATAGCACAAGAGAAGGGCTCGACGGAATCAAACTCCGGATCTCTCCATAAATCAAACACTGGGGTGAAATGATATGGAGTGTGTTTACCACTACACTATTGAGCCGTTTCAGGTGGAAGCCGGATCAGAGGAGAGCTAAGATCGGAAATGGAGTGTCTGGGACTAGGGCCAATGAATCCGGACCATGGAATCGGTATCTGGCCAGGAACAGTGCAGATATAGGTTCACAGAGTCCGAAATGAGTCACAGGCAAACTCCGGGCAGAGGAGCATGTGAGCAAACAGATTTGGGACAAGGGAACAACTCCGACACAGCATTAGGCTGGGGGTATAAATACTACGGCTAGTCTACCAAAATATTATCTCAGTTTCAGTCCACATTCTCAACTTCTAAGCCTTAGCTGGCTTAGGAGTAAGCTAAAACTGCCCAAACATCACCAAAAGGTCACCCGGAGTCGAGTTAAACAGTAAATCGACCTCTGGCACTCCCTTGCCATCATTAGACAGCGAACAGAGTTTCATTTTGGCATAAGTTCAGCATCAATTATCGAACCTTCTATTCCTCCCCTACGTTAATAGGGCAGTGAAATCTCTCAAGCAGCACAACAAGTCTTTGGAGTTCATGTGTAGCTGCTAGCTAAGGAAGTTGGCAGTGCAGAGCCCACGGAAGTCGCCTTCAGCAAGCTAACGGGTTGGGAAGTAGAGAGAGGAAACTCCATAGAGGCACAAAGAGGGGCAGAAGGAGGAGAAACTTGCGGGAACGGTACCGTGGACACATAACTCCCCCGGTCTTACAATCTACGACTCAAATATACTTTGGATGGCCGTGGTTCATGGTCCAAGAAGCCCTTAAAACCCATATTTCACCTCAGACTTAGTGAATTGGACCCGCATCACCTTCCGGAGTTCCTCCTCCAAGGAAGTATAGAACAGATTCAACCTCCGTTAACACGAGAAGGCTAACTAGGCTTCGGAGTTCGCTCAGTTCAGCCTAGCTAGTAGGATCTTGAATGAATTGTTCAAATCCTTGTATGGATATCCCCACCAATATTATTTAAAACCTCCCTACGTACTTGTCTACCGCGACAGAACAAATTCCCCCTAGAGGACGAGCATTTAAACATAGCCTGGATCTCCCCACCATCTGGCAGTTTGAAGCACCACAGTCTGCATCACAGCATCTGTGCCTTTCATTTATTTCATTTGTGTTTCCGTTCTGGCAGACAGTTCAGACCTCCCATCCTTCATTCTTGGTGATGTTGGCTATGTAAGGCTCATGGGTCCCGGTTATCCATCTCTCTCATTTACGCACTTATTCCCTGCCAGAAACATCCACACCATCTTTCAGTCTGTTCCCTCAATGCACATATGTCCTCACCTCTCTTTAGCCTCTCAAGTCCGCCCGAACCACCGACTTGATCCTTCCGTATTGCATAGGCTCTGTCTTCTCTCACCTCTCTCATTAATATGCTTCACCTTCAACAACTCCATCTCAACTTTGACTCAGTGGTTGTGAAAGGCCCGTTAAGCTCTTTGACTTAAGATCACACAGAAGAACCAGCACAATGTGTATTGTGCAGTACTTTAAGTGTGTTACAGGGTAAAAGAGGTAAGGGCTAAGGGCCTCAGGTGATCTATCTGCCCTTTATATACTAGAGGCAGCGGCAGCCGTCTCAAACAAGTAATTACAACTAAAAATAGAGTAATATATTCGCCAGTATCCCGATTGGGATACTGGATCCTTACAGGTTGCCTCCCTGTTGCCTCCAGCTCTGTTTTTGTCAGCTTCCAATCTCAGTGTGCTGTAGACGTCTCCGTGATGGGTAGATGAATCCAGCTCTTCTTGAATAGTCATATATTTCTGCTGCACTTCAAAACTCATTGAAAATGCAAGGGATACAGTGAAGGAGAATGACAGTGAAGGATAGGAAAAATAAAAACAGAGAGTTTCGTCAAAGTCTTGTCACTTATCAGAGGGTAAAAGATAGATAGCGGGCCCTGCCGTGCAGCACAGAAAGAATGTGAGCCCAGAAGTATACAAAGTGTGAGGGACTTTCGTAGACCTCGTATACTTATCGATATTTTCAGTCTCTGCTCGAATCAAACTCAGGCCACACCCGGCATACTCCTACGTTCGAGCTCCGCTCCTGCCAAAGCTCATCATACCTGAGATCAAGCGTGCCGTTGGCATCACTTGACACCCGCCTTCGAGGAGTTAGGGCAAGCACAACACGCCCTAACTCCGGGTATCAGCAGTGTAGTCCCGCTCCAACAGGCTAGGGTTAGGGTTGATATCAAATAGAAAGCATGAACAAGGCTTTAGAGTGCGGACCTGAGATGCCCCGGTTCGGGGGACCCCCCGAGCGCAGCGAGGGAGGGGAGGGGCATTGAATGGTCTGTCCCCTTCACTCACATGAAGCCTGAAGGAAATAGTAAGTAGCTGCCGTAGTTGCCGGCCTTGATCCGAGGGCAGTAAGGTCTCCAAGGTATATCAAAACTGTGTTAGGTATATGAAGTATACGAAGTATACCAAAGTATACCGTATATGTTGGTATACTTCTTTATTCACATATGTTCTCGCGCAGCGGGCTACCCTGATTATTTGTTGCTTACATTGACAACAATCAAGCATCAAGCTGGTGATTACTCAAATATGGGGAAGTCTGTTGAAAACGAATGATGTAGCATTATCCAAGTAGATCTTGATATGAGGGGAATGTGTTGGCAGCACAAAATGGTTTCCAAACATGCCTTTATCTTGCCAGGTGAAAGACATTCGGGGTGTGACTTACTGTCTAGAGAAGCTGGGTGATGCATGTCACTGGAGGGGGATGGATACGACAGCTTGGACAGTTACATTCTTGGCGCATACTCTCACACAGACAAAACCTGGGAATCCATAAAGCTCTCCAGCTTCTTGGAGCACTATATCTGGTAGATGGTGATCATAATACAACAATGAGCCTTTTTACTCTCGAGGCATTTACCCAGATGGATGTCCATCGCAGCAGAGCAGAGTGTATGCTTCTACTGGGAGATGATGGACATACCGAGTCGGCTGCATAGCAGAATCTCCTTTAAGTGATTTCTCCGAGTCATCGCAGAACGGGCGAATACTTGAAACGCGTGGACACGGACTTGCACCGTTCTGGGTTACGCTTAATCATCCGGCGATAGCCCCACAAATCCCGAGTCTTACTTTTGGCTCGACGGATCGAATGTGAACACTGAACGTTGTGGATTCTATAGCATGCACTCCACTGCAGCTATCCGCTGGCATTTGATCCCCGTCGATTTAATTCAGCACAGCAGGAGGAAAGGGATAATTTTAGCGAGCAAGTTTCTCGCGGGTGGGTTAACGGTTGAGGCCCGGCGCGGCCCATAGCCAACGCTTCGTCGTACTTGAGCTTCCGATTCTCCTCTAGGTAAAACTCTCCCGCGACTGATACGTAACTCACGGTGATGCAGAAAAGAGCATCCGAGTCCTCTGTCCGATCGATTCATCCACGGAACCTTCGTTCGTCGAACCCCTCTGTATCCAATATTGTCGACGCCGCCAGCCAGAGAGAACTGATGGTGCAAACGTAGACGCCGAGGAGTGCCTCCGCTGCCAATATTCTGTGCATAGTGACTATGCACAGTCGACCGACTGGTTGACGTGAAGCAACGGTGCCGTAAGCATGGCATCAACCATCCTAGGGAAGCGGGTGGGAGGGAAAGCGCTCGCGAGCAAAGTGCAGGAAATAGCCCGACTGGTGTCGAGAGTTTGAGAGAATTCTCAACGTTACTGTTGAATTCCAGGAAGGTGATATTAGTGCAGCCGGGAAGCAGTTGCGGAGCGCTAGGGGGATTTGAATTCAAAGTGTGAGAGATGGAGGCAAAGCTGGAGGATTTTCTTCGCCTCCTGATGATGCAATGGGTAGTATCCGTAGGGAACGAAACGGCCAAAGTGCTCCCGAACGATAACGCCGAGTCCCTCCTGCGCCTCGAGAGCGCTCAGGAAGTCAGGTTTTGCCCGATCTGTCGCATCGTGACACCTCCGTATAGAAATTCCAGTACGATTGTTCAGTCCTTAGGTTTAAGGTTGTGGAGGAGATCAAATTTCCGGGCCGGGGTGGCCTTGGGATCTGGATCCGTGGTGTTCGAGTATAAAGCATATAGTGCGTACAGGAAACGCTGGTGTGGATGCTCCTGGTATCTCTGGTGCAGTGGTAAAAAACGCACGGGAAACGCCGTCACGCTGACGATAACGCCTGTCACGTGTGGGTTGCGTGTGGGCGCACCGGGTTCTGAGTCGTACTTACGTTTACACAAAAAAACAACGGTAAAAACATACCGGGGAACTTTTTTGCGTTTATAAGCCTGAGCAGCGACACCGTCAGAGAACGAGGGTGCTATTGTTTTCTCCGCGATCTTTGTCTCGACACGGAACCTTCCGAGGGGCGCAACTTGGGCGCAACCAAGTTCTCACCAAAAGCTCTCATTCTGAAGCTCTGTATGAAGGTCCGATAAGGTCCCTCAAACCTTACTTTGTAGTGAGTGTCCAATGTTTCTTTCAATTAGATTATTCATGAGATCTTCAAGGATCTCGAATGTCAATTTATGGGAAAGCTGTGATGGAAAATCACAAATGATGCACATCTTGCAAGATCTTCGAA